GAGTGTAAGAAATTGGTGAAGACAATCTAATAAAGGTTTTGTGCAGCTCTCAACATGTTTAGCTTCACAAACTCTGCTATGCACTCCTTTTTCTTGCTCCTTCCCTCTGACAAAGTGTGTGTCAGAACTGTCTGATCAACATATGTCATGCAAGCTGAATCCTGCAAAATGTGGCTTTTGTATCCCTTAGCTTTCATTTAAGCTTTCAGAGGTCATCCATCATGGCTTCTATTGCCATCCATTTCACTGAGCAAATGTGGCCGGGTCATAGTTGGTAGACATATAGGCTTTTTTTCTCTCTTTATGGGTGGTGAATGGTATTGCCGTGTTACAATGTTTCTTGTAGCCCGATAACTGAGTTGTGTGATAAGCACCTGGCTGTGGTCGTACTTTACACTCCCCCAGGAGTCTACAAGGACCTAGCTTCTGCACAGCTTTCCAACACTTCAGTGAAACCTTTTGCAAGTAGAAAGATTTGAGATTTTTATTAGTAGGTTTTTCCATGTCTAGAGGGAAAACCTGTTAAATTATAGACTGTAGTGCAGCTTTGTAGTTAATGTGATACTGAGCTGGCCTGGTTAGTGAAGCTGTCATATGCCAGTGTGTGCCTAACTAACATAGTGTACTCTTTCCAGTGACCCTTTGAATGCCTCTTTACCAATGACCAGTGCTGTACAGAACTCCACCTACACAACTTCAGTCATTACCTCCTCCAGTCTGACCAGCTCGTCCTTGAGCTCCACTAGTCCAGTAACAACGTCTTCCTCTTATGACCAGAGTTCTGTACATACCAGGATTGCATACCAAAGCTCTGCTAACCCACCGGATTCAGCTCCAGGCTCTGTTGCTGTAAGTGGTTCTCCTGGGTTTCTTTTCTTAGGATGCACACTTTAGCCAATTACACTTTAAAATTAATTTATTAGTCAGGCAAACACCTTTAATCCCAGCATTATGAGGTAGAGGCAGGTGGATCTCTGAATTCAAGGCCAGCCTAGTCTACAGAGTAGGTTCCAGGACAGCCATGACTAAAGAGAAACTATGTCTCCAAAATGTGATGGGGGAGGGGTGGTAAGACGTCAAGAGACAACTTGTAGGAGTTCTCTATCTAGTGTTGAGAGGATCTAACACTGGGTGTCAGACTTGGCATCTGGTGTCTTTGCTCATAGAGCCATGTTGCTTGTCCATCATAGTGTTTGAGGGAAAGGACCTTGCTTTTATTAAAGCAATGAATCAATGAATAGTACTTTTCTACCCCACTGTCACATTCTAAAGTGACATTAACTACAAAGCTGCATGTATATAGTTTTTGTTTTTGTCTTTTCTTTTCTTTTCTTTTTTTTTTTTTTTTTTTTTTTTTTTTTGTGTGTGTGTGTGTGTGTGTGTGTGTGTGTGTGTGTGTGTGACAGGATTTCTTTGTGTAACTGCCCTAGCTGGTCTGGAACTAGCTCTGTAGGCCCCTCCCGCCTTAGTCTCATAGAGATCCACCTGCCTCTGCCCCTGCTGGGGTTAAAGGTGTTCACCACCACCCGGCCAGCCTCTAGTACCAGATGTACACTACCAGAAGTGTTGCCTGTGGAACACTCATCAAATCTAATCAGAAAAGCATTGGTTATTCTCATAAGAGGCTTATCGTTGTTAACCAGTGGGTTCTTCTAGTCTGGATTGTTGTATTCAAGGTCCATAGCTAAGTAAGACTTGTTTTAGGGGCCTTGGGGACCCTCCTGGCCAAGAACTGTAGGATAGGGTATCCAGCTTCCAGGACTGGGGTTTTTGTTTACTAAGCTATTGCTTCTAAGAATAGCTTGATGCATGAGTACTGGAAATCTCCATTCAAAAAAACTGAAGCATCATTCTATTAAGAATTTGAGGGGGACTGGAGGGATGGCTCAGGGCTTAGCACTGACTGTTCTTCCAGAGGTCCTGAGTTCAATTCCCAGCAACCACATGGTGGCTCACAACCATCTGTAATGGGATCTGGTGCCCTCTTCTGGCAAGCACTGTATACATGATAAATAAATAAATCTTTAAAAAAAAAAGAATTTGAGAGAAAAACACCAGGGCAAAGCAAGGTCTAGATCTTGGCAGTTGCTGGTCAGCAGATAGAGAAGAATGAGGGAGAGGTTGGCAAGCAGCTGTGGATAGGAATCTCTAGAGAAGTGGTATGAAGCCCAGCATGTCTCAAGCTGGCTGTGATGGGTCTCCCCAGAACTGCAATGATAGCCTGTGAGCCACCATGTGGATGCTGGCCATCAAATACAGACTCCCTGGAAGAGCAGCCAGCCCCCTTTCTGCTGTGTCATCATTCTAGTCCTAGTTGGACATTTTAATATAGAGTGCATCAGCTTTTCCCTGTTGTTACTTTATTCTGGAGATGGTGTCTTAGCCTCGTGGGCTCTGCTTTTGAGTGCACATTCTGTGGCTTCCTCCCCAGCCTGTGAGGGCAGGTGCCATTTTATTGTTTTAGTCAGTCCCACCACAGTGTCTTAGGTGGAGTCAAGCCAGTTGACTTAGGTTCTACAATTTGTGGAGAGCATAGTCACAACCCACTCTGTCTTAAGGTCACAGCTCATCTTTTCTTAGAAATAGTCCTCAATGTGATGCTTCCTGGTATGGAAGTTACTCTTTCTTTAAAAAGGAGGTTGACTTTTTTTTTTTTTAATTTAGAAACTTACCTTTGCATTACAGAATTTACATGTGAAATGGGAAGCCTCACATGACTTAATTATAATGAGACTTCATCTTCCTTATTCAGTTTAACAACCTGATAGCTGTTTTAGAAGTGGTTTATCCTCCTGTGTCTTTGTTACTTCCCTGAATTCTGAATCTGTTTTCAAAATGCCCACTTCTTGCGATTTATTAAAGTTAGTTGTATTTTGTCTTCTTTTTATTTTCATTTTCCTTTTATATTAGAAAAGGAATGAAACAGATACGGGATGGAGATGTTCGGTTGTAAGAGCCTGTCCTGCTCTTGCAGCCACCTCCGGCACATGACACCCACCTGGTACCTGAGTGACGTGCACTCACATAGATGATGCACATACACATGAGTAAAGTCTTTGAAAAGAAATAATTCTCCTTTGTTAACCTGTGCATATGGGTGTTATAGTCCCAATTCAGAGTTACCCTGGTGATTGTCTGGAAATGTCCATGTGTTAACTCTCTCTCTGTTCTTTGTAGAATGGACATGGTGGTGGCCGAAGTCAGCATACAGTAGACAGTAAGTGTTATATTTTCATTACAACTGGTGAAAACCAACTGGGGAAAGAGTGGCTAACATAATTCAGAAAACACCAATTGAGCAGTGGTTAATTCTCCAAAATCAGTACTTGACCTTTTCCCTGGAAACCCCTTTTTGTTTGTTTTTGAGATTGTCTCACTAGTAGCTCTGATTGACCTAGCTTGGCTTGCTATGTAGACCATGCTGGCCTCAAACTCACAATACCTTTGCTTGCCTCTGCTTCCTGAGTTCCTGAATTAAAGATGTATACCACCATACCACACCTCAGAGCTACTTTTTCTGAGGGGGTGTTTTAGTCACTGTGTATCCCAGGCTGACTTTCCAGTTACTAAGATGTGAAGTTATCTGGGGATCTCAGTGTGCATGTAGGAAGCTACCGTCTTGAGCCATTCTCACTCTCCCTTCCTGCTCCTTTTCTAAGGGAACATTCTCTGGGAGTCTTTTGTGAAGTCACCCTTAGGCTGTGGAAGTGACCTATATATAGCATCTTAATTTGGGGTGAGATGCTTCACCAGAGTCTTCATCCAGTTTCTTTCAGAACCAACTTCATTTTCAGAATCAGACACTAGCTGGGTGTTGGTGACGCACATCTTTAATCCAGAGCTTGGGAGGCAGAGAAAGGCCGGCAGATCTCTGTGAGTTCGAGGCCAGCCTGGTGTAGAGAGCGAGTACTAGGACAGGCTCCCAGAGCTACACAGAGAAACCCTGTCTTGGGGAAAAAAAAAACAGAACCAGACTTTAAAAGTCTTAGGAGTGTGAATTCACTGCAAACCCACCTCCCCCAACCCTATCCTTTAGTTTCCTAGCAATTATGCAAGGATTGGCACCATTCCTCTCCTAATTTCCCTATGTAACACAAGGTATTTCACTCCAAACTGGTTGTCCTTTTTGATTTTCAAGTCAGGGTTTCTCTGTGTAGCCCTGGCTGTCCTGGAACCCAGAGAGCCTTGCCTCTGCCTCCCAAGTGCCAAGACTAAAGTTGTGTGCCACCACTGCCTGACAAACCCATAACCACAGTCCTCTTACAAAACCAAAACAAACAAAAAAGACTCAAAAAGAAAAAACAAAAACTACACCCCATTATTAATTCTATTCCACACTTACATATTACTCAAAGATAACCTAATCATCTTTTTCACTATCCTATCATATCATATTAGAGGCTGAAATGGCTTCAACTAGACCCAACTGGGAAAAATTAAAGCCTACTCCTCCATTTCCCACACAGAGTGCTGCTCTTCCATACAATCCAACTCATACTCCTTAGCCCAATAATTAATATCCTAACAACTTCAGTATTCCCTTTGTTTTTACTCATTGATATTACTTCCCTCTCACAAATATGAATTAAAATACCCATTACACTATTTATAGCCTCTACAGTCCTATGTCTAATTTATGTCCCCACACTCACTATCGTTCTAGCAACCAACAGTAAAATATTTAATATTAGCTTGGTCAATAGACTACCTCCCTAGCCTATATATAGCTCTGAGTTCAGTCTCTAGGACCACATGCAATCAGGAGTGCTGGAAGGCATGAGAATCAAAAGGTCATCAGTGTGGTGGTATGTGTGAATGCTTCAATTCCAGCATTCAAGAGGTGGTGGCAGAAGGATTAGGAGTTCAAGGTTGGCCTGTGCTACATGAGTCTCTGTCTCAGAAAGAAACCAAGTTGGCCAAGCTGCAGGCCAGCCTGCCCCCTGCCCACTGTCAACTCTTCTTGTTAGAGTGGAGTGCTTCCTCTCAGGGAGCTCTGCAGGAGGGAAGAGACGATGATGTGTTTCCAAGCACATATCTGACTTATGTGCGGATGACAATCAAGCTGAGTCTTTTCCACGGTCATCAGTTTTATCTGTGACATCTCTGACACAAAGACTTGTATCTGTGCTCTGTGATTAACTTTTTGAAACATATACCAAGGAAGTTTCCGCTGTGCATCTGCAAGCAGATGTTGGTGTGAATTCTTACTGCAGTTCATGAACAGATTTCCACATTTCCCCTGAAGTTCCAGTGCACTCTGGCAGCCTGGACCTTTACTGGCTTCAAGTGGATGGAAATGCTCTGAGGAGGTCTTTCTTCTCTCTCAGCTCTTCCCTCCCTCAAGCTGTGCTTTGTAAGGGATATTTGTCTCACTACATACACGTCTGCTTTGGCCCGTCTTGTCTTTTCTGGGTGCTGGTGCCACGTGTCAGAAAATGGGAGAAATATGTCCACATCATGACAGTTTGTTTGGGTGTCACACGTGGTTATATAGTCCTGTCTGCAAGAAGTGGAGCTGCCTGGTGACATGCTTAGGCTCTATCCTAGGAAAATGTTACATGTCATATAGCATATCTGAATGTGACCAGATACCGAATATGTCTCCAGTACCAAGGGTTGCTTCTGAGGCTAAAGAGATATGTTTCTTGCAGCTACTTCATCTGTTCCAGCTCCAAAGACGACAGATCCTCCAGCCCTCCCATCTGTGGGCTCCCTACCCAACACCACCTCCTGCACTGCACTTCTGCCCTCTTCATCCCAGCACACTGCCACTTTGCCCTCCTTGTCCCAGTCTGGTGACCTGTCCAGCAATGCCCTTTCTCAGCTTAGCAGGTACGTGGGTGACAGTGAGAATAAGAAAGGGGATGGAGACTTGTAGGGCTCCTATCAGATGAGAAGTGTCATATAGACTTTGGTTGTGCTACACTTGTTTAGACTTTGGCCTGGTCACATCCCAGCATCAGTAGATACGAAAATCCTAACTGCGTCTAATGTTTCTGCTGCAGAGCCTGAGGTCTGCTGAGAAGCAGTGAGAACATAAGCAGATACTTAAGGACTTGCTTGTCCTTAGTTTTTGCCCTGTACCACTTGAATGTGTGTCTGCCTTAACGTCTGTCCTGATTCCAGAGATAGACTACTGGGATAGGATAAAGGAAAGGGAGTTAGCTTGTTCCCCATGCTTCCTGGTAGAACTCAGAACAAACGTGGTTGGTTGATTTGAACTCTGGATCTGATGAGAATTTAAGCTGGACTCTTAGGTGTGGGCTAAATAGAAACTCTCTTGACTCTCAGTCTTCTGAGCTCTCCAGCTATGCAATCCTGGTTTTATTCTTTTTATAGCCAAAATGGTTATAACTTGTTGAAGCCAGGATGTATCAGATGTCATGGTGTATGGCCCTGTAGACCATTTTTGACCAACAGGATGACTTTGTCACATGATTCTAGGGGCATCGTCAGTGATTGGATTGACCTTGATTATAGCCTGTTAAACCAGGTAAGTCAGACTTCCAGGAACAAACTTGCTGACATGTGGTACTCCTTTTTATCTTCTAGTTCTCTCTCCAGCCACCAGAACAGCTTGTCCTCTCCACATACAGCGCGCCCCACAAGCACGCCCCACACTGTAAGTGCCCACACTTCCTGCACTGTATACCCAGATCTCCCATGAGTTGGTTAATTTTGATCTGAGATGACCCAGAGTCTCCTGGTTCATTGCCTTAGACCTTGTGTGCTTTTTCCTCACACAGATGTCGGGGCTGTGCTTGCTTCAAGGACTTAGGGTGCTCTTTTCCCTGCAGGGACAGTTTTGTTTCTTGCCCTTTTTTTATTTCACAATTTTTTGTTGTTGTTGTTATTGAAGAATAGGTTTGTTTCTGTTTCCCGGGTCTCACTGTCCTGCCTTGTGGCCTAAAAAAAAGATACAACTAAATTGCATTCTTTTGTGTTGATGTCATTAGGACTTTACTAATGGTGGTGATTAGGTGTCCACTTTGATTGACCTTCATACCAAATTGCCTGCTAAGAGACAGTGTGAGAAAAGATGTTTTTAGAAGGTCAAGAAATCTAGGCTAGTGGAGATTCAAAGTGGAGATGTCAGCCCACATTTATGTTCACTCACATTTATGGATGTGCACTGTGTTTTTCCCTGTTGCCCACACAAGTCAGGAAGAGGGTTTCAGATATTCTCGCTTTATAGCTATGCATGATTTTGAGATACCAGGTGTGTGCTAGGGACCAAATCTAGGTCCTCTGCAAGCTTTTAATTACTGAACCACCATCTAAAGTTCCTTTCTTCTTATTTATGTATGTGCAACTGTTTGTGTCTGTGTCTGTGTGTGACTGCAGGAACCATAGAGTCTAGGAAAGGGTGTTGGATCCCCTGGAGTTGACATGACAGTTGGTTGTGGGCCCTCTGATATGGGTGCTGTGTAGTGGTAGTGGGATATTGGCAGAGACACTCCCCCTCTAGAAGAGCTATGTGCGCTCTTAACCACTGGGGTTTCTGTTTGAGACAGTCCATGGAACTCCCAAAGATCCCCTTGCTTCTGTCTCTGAAGATGTGTGTTATCATGACCAGCCTCCAGCCCAGCTTTAGTAGTCTGGACGGTAAGTCATGGTGGCTGAATCTGGCCGTACAGCTAGAGGCTGCACTGACCCTAAGACAGGGCATCTCACTCATCTTACAGCCGCTGAGCAATGGCATGGCTCACTGCCTGGTGAGCTGTAGGAGTTCTTTCTAGCTGTCCCAGCTCCGTCTTTCTTGCTATCAAATCCACATGTATTGGCTTTTGTTTTGCCAGCATGCCAGTGTGGAGAGCACCCCATCCTCAGCCACCTTCTCAACAGCTGCAACCTCTGCCCCAAGTGCCCCATCCACGGGGGTCGTCTTGCCTGGGAGCAGTCTGTGTCTGGGTGGGACCACAGTGAGTGTGCCCAGCAACAGTACCCGGGCCACAGCGTTGGTGACCTCAGGTATGTGCGCCAAGTCCCTTACCTATCTCCTCAACGTAAACTTCCAGACCTGTTCCAGACCTGTACCTCCACCTCCACCTCCACCTCCACCTCCACCTCCACCTCCACCTCCAAGCAGCTGAGCTGCCTCACAGTGAAGTGGGTAATCTCTTGTGTTTGGTTTTTCCTCTTTATAGGCAAAGCACCCCCAAACCTGCCTCAGGGGGTGCCTCCTCTGCTACATAATCAGTACCTCGTGGGCCCTGGAGGACTGCTTCCTGCTTACCCGGTGAGCACATAGTAGAACTCCTGATTGCCTCAGGGCCTGATACATTGCAGGACTTGGTAAGGGGTTGTGAGTTAGGACAGGGCTGCCCACCTGAGGCAGCTCATCTCCCTGTCTCTGTCCACCTAATACCCAATGTGTCTTCCTCCTTCTAGACTCTATGTAGACATGATCTGTAGCGCCTGACCCAAGTCCCATTCCTCAGTGTGTCTGCTTTGGTGTGTGTGGTCTCTAATGTATCTGTGACTCTCCTGAAGATCTATGGATATGATGAGCTTTGGTGTGTGTGGTCTCTAATGTACCTGTGACTCTCCTGCAGATCTATGGATATGATGAGCTCCAGATGCTGCAGTCGAGGCTGCCAATGGTGAGTACAAAATGGCAGCCCAGACTCTCAGCTCTGCTCCTTAACCTGCTCGACTGCCACCACAGTTGGCCTTCTGGACCCCAGCTATGGGACTCTCCCACACTACCACTGAGAAGCTGTGTCTGGTGGTGATATGCATGGTTTGACCTGGGGGAGGGGAGGCAGACATATAGGGAGCAGTGCTCATCCCCAGGAGAATTTGAGAGACTTTAGACCACGAGCACATGTGAACCATGTCCTGTACCAAATGTAGTCCCTTATTTTCCTGCTCCTTTTTTTTATATTTTCTTCTTTTTTAAGAAAACTAAAAATAGCTGAACATGGAGGTCCGTTCCTGTAATCCCAGCATTTGAGAGGCTAAACTTGAGTTAGACCAACTTAGGCTATATGTTGAGATCCTGTCTCAGAAGAAACAACTATCACACAGTCATGAGAGTTGTACTTGGAAATATAATGCAGTCTTCATCTCAGGGCACTGGTGTTTCTTTGGGCTGTAGTGGCCAATGGCTGCCCTCATGACTGCTCTCATGCTCTTCTCTCTGTAGGAGAATGAGGGGCGGGGCTTGACTGACTTTATTAAACTGTCATATGGGTTTAGCCTTTCACCTTTATTTAGAAGAACGCTGTCCCTGGTGTCATTGCCTTACTTTCAGCCAGGGTTGTCTGTTCTGACCCTGAGTCTAGGGATAAAATGATGGGTCTTATAGGAGAGCCAGTGTTGAGCAGAGAACCGGAGTGGCCCACTCCTCATGAAGCAGGATTACCCTCTGGTTAGCCAGTCTCAGCCTGGTGTTTTGTAGAGCATCAGTCAGTGACAGACACAGAATGTAGACCTCAACCCAAGCATGGGGCTGCCTGTTCTTCCTCCAGGCTCACTCCTTCTCTACACACACCCCTGTCACATGGTTGCTGGCCAGGCCACCCAGAGTGAACAGCTGGAGGGTCATCTCCTCTCCATCTGTTGAAGTCCTTTTCAGAGCCAGAGGCTGCCTGAGGACCTGCTGCTGGGTCTAATAGGACTTGGAAGAAGTTCCTGGGTAGAATCCAAGTGTGGCCTGATGACACTCAACAGATGGCTTTATCCTGTGTTAGGTGTTCTTCTTGGCTCTCCACGCACACCCATGGGTCTCCATTTTTTAATTTCCTGTGTATGCGTGTTTCGCCTGCATGTATGTAGGTGCACCATATATGTGCCTGGTGCCCATAGGGTGGAAGAGGACATCAGATCTCTGGAACTGGTGGCAGTTGTGAACTGCCATGTGGGTTACTGCAAAAGCAGCCAGTTCTCTTAACCTTTGAGCCATCTCTCCAGCCCTTTTTCTTTTTAAAAGTTTTGTCTTAGAGGACATCTGCAGTGAGCTCACAGTAGAAACAGCTTTAAATTTTTCCTTGGAGCATATTCCAGCCTTTCTTGGATTTCCTTGTTTTATGTGAAAGGGTACTCCCTTCTGGGTTTCCTCCCCCCAGTCTCCAT